TATGATCCCTTGAAATTTGGAAGAAAAAAATGGAAAGACTACAGACTAATAAAGAGAAATACAGGATAATTTATTGACTTTATTCCCAATCCCTAAGTGAATAATATGTTTCCAATTTAATGTTCAGTTTAGTGGCATCTCTACCTTTTTACCCCCATGAAAGAGACTCTGATAAGAAAACCAGGCATATCCCTGATGATGAAACCTTCTGCTTGAGTGGCCAGATGCCAGAAGAGGCACAGCCATCCCTGCCACTTGGAAAATCTGGGCCCATGCCAGAAACGGGAAGCTACCAGGCCCAAATATTTTTATTCATGTATCTTATCTTAAAAATTCATGTATATTTTGCATTCTACTCTGTTATGTACCATTGTATTTTTAATATAAAAATGCTTGCAGCCATTGAATTATTTAACCCCTCCTATTTCCAAATATTCGAGTAAAATCGACACTCCAGGAAGATTTGCACTGTGGTTTGGGGGCTTTCCCTTCCCCTTGAACAACGCCAATATGGTCAGGGCTATGTGAGAAGCATAGGTGATATCTTATTATAATATGATGAGCTCAAGGGTCTTAAATGATCCACAATAATTAATAATCCAATAATCATTAAATGAAAGCTCCAATTCCCATGCAACTGGGCCCTGCAATGGTAAACTGGGCCCTGCAATCTTAAAATGCCCTCTTAGCTTTTGAGCTACAGTTTTTATAAAAAGATCAATAATGATGTCTTCCTGCTCCAATATGGAATCAGTGTTTCCCTAAATACATTAACGTCAGAAGTATTGAATTACCCAGGAGGATCAGCACCACAATGAAACAAATAGATGTTCTTTGCAAACGAGTGATTATCAATACAGAGAACCCACTGAAGGCTGCTGCATACAAAATGACAAAAGGCAGACACCAGGACAAAAAGTAACAAAATACGGTCACACAAAGTCCAGAAAGATGACACTCACCCTCATCCTGATAATCCGATAAAAAGGGTGCATCTGATATGACGGATGGGCCGTGAGTTCCACTGTGATTCTCCTCAGAGCTGTCTTGTCCAAGGTCTCCCCCTGAGGGACAAGAAAGAAAGAAATTAAGGTTATCCTCCAGACATTTTTATAAAGGTATGATATTTGCAGACATCTTCTGGTATTCACAAAAAAGGATGTATCTTTTACTTGAACATGGTCACTATCATTAACATACGAGAAACAAATAAATTCAAGAACCAACTTACCTGGATGGGAAATTTTCCACTCTAGTAACTTTCACTGGAATTTAGGAACTGTTAACTTGGAGTGGGAAGACACATTGCTACCAGAGAGAAACTTCTCCATATCGCACTTAAAATGAAAACATAGCTATATAAATTCATAATCAGATATACTGTCTCCATTAATTACAACCTTTGCCCTGAATGCCTCTTCTTCATTATATTTCCAAATGAAATAGAATATTTCTTTCCTTCTCTGAAAAAATAAAAGTAGTAAAAATAAAAGAAGTAAAAATCTAGACTTTGCTGGATTCTATTCCTGTTTAAATCAGTACTTGTTTTGCAACCTTAACAAAGTTCTCTCTCTGTAATTCTAGTTTACAGCCTATGTAACCAACCTCTTAGGAATTCTAAAAGCCCTAAGAAGGTAATATTTGTTCTGTAAAATGGCTTTGATAAAAGGTAATGTATATACAATACTGAATTATGCAATTAAAACAATGCTAATCCCTTTTGGGTGTTTTCAACATACATTGGATTGTATTTTGTAGAAGTGGACGATGCTATTATGATACTTTAAAAGGTTCAGACGGAAGATGTTAGCTCATTCAGAAACCGGAAGGAAAGGCTCTGCATTGCAAATGGCTTTTCTTAAAATCCCCCAAACAGAGGTACATTCTGCTGATAAAACAGACACCAACAGCTGCTTAGTTCATTTCACAAACATGAAAAAGGGATTTTCAACTGAATTTAATATCATCTCAAATACTAATTTCCAAAGGAAATCACCAGTGCTAATCTCAGTAAACACTGTAGAGTTTTGGCCCTGGATTTCAACTAGGGAGCAGTGAAACCAAACAACCTACATAGAATCTGTATTGCCTCACTTTAAAGGTTTATTTCCTACAATTAAATTAGAAGGATAGGGAGGAAGTAAAACGGTAAAAAGAGAACGGCTGTAAGCCTTTTCTTTCCATAAATAGATGATCACATATAGACTCTTCTTTGAATGCTCAATGGTAGGTAGATGTCCACAACTCGGCTGAATACCAGTAGGTATAGGACTTTAGAAATAAACTGCAGAGTTTATTATGGAAAAGTAAAAAATTTTTAAAAAACCTTACACAGCAGTGATTAGCCAAAGTTAGAAGAAATGCTCTCCTTTACTAGTTTACTGAGCGGGACACAAAGCTATAGTTAAGCCTAAAGCAGCAGTGTGTACTTTCCATAACAACCGGAAAAATCCTCAAGTACTGACTGAGGATTAAAATGCTCAAATTTTACACCACTGCAAATCCACTGAAATTATACTATCAACATGATCTAATGGACTGCCTCGCTGGTAACCTGAAAGTGAACTGCAAGTTTGAAAGGAATTTTTATTTAGAGCCAAGTCAAAATTCTTAAATAATAATAACAAAAAAGAAGTAGCCTGGCTTGCCAAATAAATTTTAATGTCTGTCGGATATACTGAACATTATTTATCAACTATCATTCTGGACTTGAAGTTTTCTGCTTGCTTCAGAAATCTGACAAATCCACCACTGAAGAAGAAAAAACCTACTCTTATACATTCTAGCATTCTAAGCTTTTTTTTTTTTTTTAATATGCAGGTCAGAAAGGGCTTTTGGGTTTTTTTGTTTGTTTTGTTTTAAATAAACTTTTTACTTTGGAATAATTTTAGACTTAGTAAGTGTTGCAAAGGTAGTAAAGACGGATCCTATATACCTTCACCCAGTTTCCTCCAATGTCAACTTCTTACATAACTAAGGTGTAGCTGCCAAAACCAAGAAATAACACTGGTACATTGCTACTAACTAAACTACAGAATTTATTTTGATTTCACAAGTCTTTCCATTAATGTCCTTTTTCTATTCCAGGATCCAATCCAGGATATCACATTTTATTTACAGCTTCCATTTTAAAATTCTCGCCCAAAACACCTGCCTGGATTTGGCACTTGATCTACTAACTTCAAATGACAAAGTCACTGACGCACGATTCCTATGGTTTCTGAGTATAGTTACCCAAGGTGGGCTTTTAACAGCCACTCCTGTGCCAAATATGAGATTGTGCCTTTGTAAAGCATGCACCAATGAAGAAATACAACTCAATGGGGGCAAACCAGCGCCTAGGTCAGTACTACAAATGGTTGTGGTGGGGGAAACATTTAAAAACATACTTCACACTCAAGCACAATTAGTTCCTGATGATGGAGATGTTGTTATAAGTGTTTTTAGTGTCATATCAAGTGGCCCAACTCCCTTGGGCACACACAGAAACAAGCCTATAACATTATATAAATAGACACTCCCGTGTAATTAAAATGATTACAACTACTCAAGATGCATGGGTGAAAAGTTTTATAGAAGAACCAGCAATTACTGAGGTCATTTTGGATTTGTTTAAGTTTAGAACATTATTTTTCCTTAAAACATAACTGCAGGTATTCTCGGGATTTGTCTACAGCTCTGACAATTGCAGTTCCAAGTGGCCGCTACTGCAGTCCAGTGGGATCGGACATCAATGATCACAAACTATAGTGACAGACATTTCCACTCGGCAGCTCTACAGTTAGGGCTTAGAACTCCATCTGTGTGGAGTGGCTTTCTCACAAGCCCCTTGCCGCTGGAGACACTGTCCCACTGCAACGCATTCAGAATCAATATGTTTCTATACAGATATATATATTCTAACACACCACATCTCCATTAATTACATCCACTATCTTCAGTCCTTTCTCCTTGTATTTCTAAACAAGATCTGAGGAAACTATATCAAAGGTTCACCTGCCATTAGCTGGTAATTTGTTCCTCTACCTTAAGTGTCATAAGAATCAGGTGCTAGGAACATTCTTTAGTATGTTCAATGGCATGTTTTCCACTGAGTGTCCTGTTGAGGGGCCCATATGTGGGATGATTTCTCTATTGTTCTTTTCTGAGAGTCAAACTCAATTTCATTCATGCTCCACAGAGTGATAAGTTGTGAATTTCTGAGGGTTGGGACATAAAGATAAAGCAGCTTTGTGTCAGGTGTAAGGTAATTATTTTCTAGGGTTTCTATGCTATTTGTTTTTATTCCCTGTGTCTTCATTAACAGTTAATGAGTTTTCCCACTTAATTCTGAAACAATAGCTTGGCCACTAGAAGTTGGCTTTTCCTGCCGTGGATTCAACCAGCTGTTGCTGCTCCATAAACTTTATGGAGAAATGAATTAAATTGCTAAAAACTTTCATTTACTAATTCGATTCATAATAAAACAGAGGGAAAAAATGAACCATGATGATGTTCCCCTTGTAACTATTTTGACTCACAGCAAACCCATCTAGTCCTGAACTTGCAGATATTATTTAGGCACAAAAACAGGCCATAATGACAATTTTACCAAAGAAATGAGAAAGACGTGAAAAAAGCACCTTATGCATTAATAAAAGCACATACAACAAAATATGAGAACAACAAATAACAGAAAAAACATATCAATATGTTTTCTTATTCAATATGTAAAGGCTCAATTTTTTCTCATGTTAGTATAAGTCATCATCTTTTATTTCTCTTCTAATTAATTGTGAGCTATAGTATAAAGACTCTTCACATCTGCAATCAATTGCTTATATAGTGTAGTTAAAATTTTTCTAGGGTTGCTATTATTCCACCAAGTATTTTTGGATGATAGAAGAAAATTTAAATTAATGTAAAATTGTCTGAAATTTTTTTGGGTTTTGTTAGTTTTGTTGCTGTTGGAAGGGAACACATAACTTCCTGCTCTATTTAATATATAAGAAACCATGAGACACACATAGCTCCTTCTTTAAAGTAATAAATCCTCACTAAAATGCTATAAATAAAGCTCCCTGATCCAAATCTGGTTAGTTTTCATGCTTGATAGCATTAATATTGCCAAATTTTCATGGACCAATTTAATGGTAATGCAGTTCCCAAAGCTGAACTATAGTAAGATTAGCAAAACTGCAGCTTATTATTCCTTATTATAACCATTCACCTAAGTTACTGAATCTAACACCAAATAATGAAATACGTTGGGTACGGACGTGACCATATATGTGAAATGTTACTCGCATGTAAATATTTTATAGAGCATATTTGCAACACCAAAGCTAAAGTTCTGTCAACACTTCCATTGTAAGTTACACATCATTTTGCACATACCCATGCATTAGAAAATGTACGGTGTCATCCACAGAACATCTTAGAGGCTTCACCGATTTCTAAATATCCATTTGGATTTGCCTGGTTAGTTCTTGTGATTAATCCATGTATAGCGAAGGTCTCAAAGTCTTCTCTGTTCTATACAGTCTGACTTCCTGCCCATCTCTTTTTTTTCTTCTTCTACATCTACCCATAACTCAATGCATAAATATTCTTTTTTTCCCCCCAAGGTCCTGGCAGGGAGTTTAATAGTACTGAATGTCATTAAGTCCACAGAACAAATGATAGGCCAGGTAGAGAAAGTTTCCATTTATCACTCTTTTAAAAAGTTACTCCAACTGGATCTTGAATGTACAAGAAGTAAATTAAGCCTAAGTTTTTTAGTTAAGAATACTGTTTGCTAATAATATAATCATGCTAAGAATAACAGACTTCTTATGAATCTTTAGAGAGAACATTTACAGAGAGAGGTGCACAGTCTAAATGGTTAGAAATGGAACCAGACTGATTGGGCACTCGTTGCACAATCACTATGACAACATCTGTGAATCCAACAACTAATAGGGCAGCATAGCTTAGTAAGATTGTCAAAATGAACTACATCTGTCAGTGGTAGATTAGACAGGAAAACGTCAGTGGGAGCCGATTGAAAAGTTCTTTTTTCTCACTCCTTCAAGAAAATGGCCCTT